AGTTTGGCTTATTTGATTATGGCAATGCACTTGAGAACTATATGTATAAAGGGAGAGATGCCTTCGTAGAGCACTTTTTAAGAGAACCTGGCTAATATCCATGCTGCACATGGGAAAAACTCGAAAATACCCAAACAGCCCATCCCTTCGCAAGATTTTAACTAGGTCAAATAACCAGCATTCAGCGACTCTATCACTCGACCGGTGGTGGGCTCAGAAAGATAAAAAGATAAACTGTCAGAATGATAGGTACATGATGACGTTGCTGACTGCCGTATCATTAGATCAGAATTCGGGTTATAGAGGAGGCTTGGATGTTTGAAAAAGCACATGTAATATCTTTGTGGTATAGGGTACTTAAAATGTACTACGAATCGAAAGTCCTCTGTGTTTGGTGGTAGGAGAAGAAGGATTAGAGCACACCCCCCGGTAGATTCTCCTTCAAAACTGAGACGGAAATGGATGATGTCGTATTGGCACCTATAGAGTGCCCAAGGTTCTGGATGCAATCTTGCACTTTTACCTCGTGATGATAAAATTGCGGACTTGTTCTGATGCTACTGTCAGACAGATGCGGTAAGTGACAACAGCCAGCTTGCTTATAAAAGCATAAATGAAAAATTTAACAGTGTGAACTTCTCTCACCCACGACCAACTGGCAATTGATAAAAAAAAAATCTGAAAGGTTTCAAACTTTAAATTACGTCCAAAAGGTCTTTTTTTTTACGTTTTGTGTGTTATCTTTATTTGTTAAATATCATATTTTTCGTACTTAAACCATAAAATTTAGTTCAAGAACAATATCGCAAAATAATTTTAAATTGAGCATACCTTTAAAATATCCGATACACAGTCTCGCGCGCTGGAGATAAAAATGTTTTTTTTTTTCTGTACAACGTTGGTATTGCTCACTTTAAAATCCTTGAGTTTGTTAATCCAAATTCGTTAAAGTTTTACAAAATATGAAAACGATAATAAAACAAATTCCAAATTTCAAATTTGGGCTTCCAGATGCCCATATTCGCAGTAGGATTACGTCATTCAAAATTGGATAGCTCTAGGTACCGCTGTTTTATCACAATGCGAGAAACATACATACATTTATGCAGATTCCTCATTATTTAATTTATTCAAATATAATACAAGGCGATAATATTTGGCGACAGTTTGAATGGACATTCAGAGTGATTCGACACAAAATCGCAAAACGAAAACAATAGTCCCTCAGTGACAAAGCCCTTTGGACTAAAAATGTGTAATAAAAAGTATAATAATAAGTATCAAAATTAAAATCAAAAATGATTAGCATACTGTAATAAATAAAAAGAAAGTTTCAGATGTTTAATATTGATGTAAAAACCAGTATCACACAGTAATAAATTAAAATTATTTTCCCTCGTAATTTAAAATCGGTATAACAGAAGCGAGGGGAAATATTTCCCATATAATGTGGCCAAAATTAGTTCATTCACAACAAGGCAATTGACATGTCCATTCTTACACACCTCTAAAATGACTCGAACAAAACTTTAGAAACGCACGAAATAGCTAAAACTTCATCCATTGCTACTTTAAGCCTAAAATATGTATTAATGCTTCAATTAACGCACATATGCATTAATACAACACTTATGATTTCGGTAATACAAATATGGAAGCTATTTGAATGAGAATAAAGGGGGGGAAAACTCAATTTTTTTTAACTTCAGATAGAACACATTTTATAATATAACTTGTTCTGTGTGTTAGATAGCAAACGGAAGAGGACTGGAATCCCGAAGGAATAGTACGGACATTTTTAATTTCCTCTTCTTCTTTCATAAGCTACTAAGCAAGAATTTTTAACCGAAATGCTTTTTAAAATACCTCAGATTCATGCTCGAATAGATATCGTAACAAGGACTTCCTCGCATATACTGAAGAGATTGGATCGAATGAACCTTAGCTCTTTGATGCTGTACTTTACTCGATATAATTTGAATTATGAAATTTCAACATGAACTGAAATTTATTCGAAAATCGGGTCTTCTCAGATTTGGGCGCGAAATTTATGACTTTTGAACTTCAGACCTATAGATCCAGTGCCATATGTAGGTGTATACCAGGCATTCCCAACTCTTTTCTTGCATTTCCTCTTTTAAAGAATAGTTTTCTTCATCGATTTCATTGGATTTTTTCGAAGTGTACAACATTGTCATGAAACTAACCACTGGACATAAATAACTTTTTTTTTATTTCCAATTGCAAGATACTTGACATGAACAAGATATCTTAATAAAATACATAAATAAGATACAGAAACAAAAGAACATAGGAGTAAAGGTGATTGGCTCATGCGCAGTCTCACAAACCAATATCGCTCAGTCTGAGAATTTCCACAAATTGCAGTTGTACGGTATAAGATGGTATCTATCCATAATACCATTGCTGCATAGGGGGCAATTTGGACTCGGCAGGCACCATTGCGGAATAGGTGCGTCACCAAGAAATCATGTCCAGTTAGTTAGCTCATAGATCTGCTTGTTCGTTACCATCCACACCGCCCTGGAGGGTCATGTGGATTTCTTTCCTCCGCATAAATAACTCAAGGATAACAATTAAACCAAGAGTGTGAACTAAAGTTTTGAAAAAAAGGGTTTATTTTAGACTTAAATTTTATTACCGTTTGTATTATTATTGTATTTTTTTAATTTTACCAATATAAACAGTTATCAGACAAAAATAAGATTCTGATTGCCCATTGTCGTACTGATGCAGTTTTCTTTTTAATATTTGGCATAAAATTGCTTAATTTAATTTTCAAATCATTTTGTTCAGAAATATTCATCATTTTTCTTGTTTTTAGTTATAAGTTATTTATTTGACTAAAGTCAACTTCCACTGAGTAAGAAGAGGGAAAAGTAAAAAATCATAACGGTCGCAAATTTAATGTTGGAATAATGAGATGAGAGGACTTTTAAACTAAGCGTATCATTGTGTTTTGACTTACCAGACTTGACTTGTATGACAAAGCTTTATACTAATAAGCAATAATTATCAATTTTATTAATACACCTTTTATAGTCAATGGGATCTCGATTATGATGATCAATTTTCCGTGCCTATTCCGATATTGACCTCCATTTGTCCCCTTGATCATCACAGACTCCTTTAAAATATCTTCGACATCTAAGGGGCCCATACCGACCCCCATGGGAACCTCTTATGGAAACAAATAAAGTGAATTAACAAATTAAATTGTATAGATTTTAATGGGATGTAAAAACAGGTGACATGACAAATTACTCCAGGGTAATTTGCTAGAGAATAAATAACATTCATATAGAAGTACCTGTTAAATAATATAAGTAAATGATAGGGAAATTGTCACGGAAGAATAATTGTCTAAGTAAGATTGGATATCATTTTCCCAATACAGTAGGAAAACTAGGAAAAACTTCCATTCGACACTAATGGGAACATTCCACAACATAAGAATGTGGTATCAAAATGTTGGACCTCATGCTGTTCACGAAGACATTTCAGTCATGCCTTTGTTGCAAATGTAGTGTTGCTAAGGTTGTAGAGTCATTAGGGTTTTTTTGGAAGCCAGAGAGATGAAATACGCAACCGCTTTCCCCGGGAATCGAACCACGAACCTCTGGAATACCGGCCCAGCGTGCTACCGTTACACCCACGAAGGCACGCTAGGGAAGTGGGAGAAATACCTTATAAGGTTTCAAATTTTAAATATTTAAAGTCCGCGATTATATTGTTTATATTTCTATTAAAAACGGGCTGACCAGCGGACGAGCGGGTTATACGAGCCAGTCCCCTTAGAATGTCCTCAACGAAGGCACTCCTCCCCTTAGATTTTAGAGAGAAAATATATATAAATCCGAATCCTTTCTTTCTGCAATATTATTACAGTTTATGTACATATTGACGAATATTTAGCAAACAAAATTTAAAATTTATTAAAAATATTTTTCCTTTTGTTAACAAAATTTCTATTTAAAAAAACATTCTGGACCCTCAACTGCTTTCAGATCGTGCATTGGATCAGTAAGAATTTTGAGTTTGAGTCCACTGACCTAAGATGAAGAGAAATATGAATGGGGATATAGACAGATCAATTAATCATAAGATAAACTAATTTCATAAAGGCAGCCCTGAAAAAAAAATGGAATACTTTGTAGAGATATTAGGTAATTTAGAAGCAGGCAAGATGAAAAATGTGCAATCGCCTTCGCCAGGAATCGAATCACGGACCTCTGCAATACCGGCCCAGCGTGCACAACCACTACACCACGAAGGCACGCTAGGAAGGCGGGAGAAAAGCCTTACAACTTTATCGGGAAATAAATGTTAAGCAATCTGGTTTATAATGTCTTTCGTTCCGATAAAGAAGGTATCTCGGAAAATTGTGAATATCGAGGTTTCCAGTTTTTTTTTTATTTTGACAGAATACATCATAAATAACTGTAAAACTGTTTTCCCAATCTGTCGCCTGATACTTACTTTATATGTTATAAAGAAAATAAAGTAATCAAAATCATTCAAGGCTCAAACAATCAGTTTATATTATCGTCGGCAAAAGAAAAGACTTTCATTCAGATGGATTTACCGTTCCTCATTAAAATGGCGAAAAAAAAGAAAACGATCTAACTTTCATTGTTATGCTCAAATAATGATGCTGAATCCTAAAACACAGGCTCTGAAGGAAAAACCTACCATCATTTACAGGCAGGAAGCAAAAACTATGATTACCGGAAAAAAGGCTATCACCATCTTTATCCACGCTACAGGCAAAGACGAAAAAGCAAACAAGGCTTGCAAAACATCAATGAAAAAGTAAAGTTAAAAAGAAAATCTCCCATCGAAGGGAGAAATCGACAACGACTAGATGAGGGCGTCAAGTGGTTAAATTTACCAATCTGCCGTGGAAGGGTGATTTCTTATTGGTCGAAGCACGGTTCGATGTCAAGGTATATAGGAAATCGAACTATGCCGGCGGTCCATATTAAGACACGAGTTTGACGATTGGACATGCTCGGACGAGCTTAGGCTAAGCGCGTATAAAAAGGTATTCACTCAACCTTGCACACACAGTTATTTTGAGTTGTTTTTCCGTGAAAGTTGAGTTAGCGGGATCTAACGAACACTTTCCAGATCACATCCCATCATGAAGAAGACAGCGTGTTTTGCCTTACTTTCTCTCCTGGGTGAGTTTCCGTAGGTGCTATGCATCTTATGATAGATTTATTTCACGCTTTCGAACCTAAAGTACACTAACTCATCTATGGATATAATTATTTTGCTCATCAATTTAAATATGTTCTATAGTTTAAATCTATTTAAATACGTTCTATAGTTTAAATCGATTTAAATATGTTCTAATAATTTAAATTTATTTCAAGTTAAAAATCTTTTGACGCATATCCATTTCTGTACTGAAATATGGAGTTTGTAAATCAACTTCAGAATATACTGAATACTTTGAAATTATACATTAAATGACACTTACTGAATTAATTATAATTTAACAAATATTATACAGCATAAGTTAATAATTTATGCTGCATATAACTGCAATTAGAAATTTAAAATTTCTAAGTATTGTGATATATAGAACCGTTTTGCTATGCATACGGAAAATTTCTTTTTATGTCAAAACATGTACTATCAATATACAATATTTTCCATATGTTTTGCAAACGTTCTTTTATTCTTACAGATGTTTTAAAGGAAAATTATTATTTTATTAAATACACTACTGATTGAATACTCTTAAAGTAATATAACTTTGAATAATGTATAAAAAATTACACTATTTAATATTATTATGTAATATATTATAGCATCTGTAATATACTATAATATAATGCTGAGGCTATAAGAGCATAAATATGTCAATTTTTGAATATTTTAACAGCATCTGGAATTCTGAACTAAAGTATCGAATGATTTTATCTCTCAGTTTTTTACATTCTAGTCAGACATATTTTTGCCTTTCACGTAACAGCTAATTTAAATTTGCGTTGACAAAAATTTAGTTCTAAAGATACTGTAATACGAGCATTAGTGCGCAAAATTCTGACCTTGAACGTTATAAATATTTTAGTTGAATATGTTGTATTCAGTATATTATATTAATCATAACTACTGAAGTTTTAAAACTGTATTAGAATATTTAATATATCGTCGCCTTTTATATAAAATAACGAAATCTTAATTGCCTCGCCCAATACAATTAAAAGCATTGCAACTAGAAAATCTTAATATGGAATCATTATACATATTAATAAAGTGCAATGGATATTAATAAAACATTATAGAAAATGCCTACTGAAAATAAAGTTCACCTTTCTTAAAGCATTAAAAATAAATTATTATACCTTTCTAAAACGAGGATTCATAATTTTCTTAAGCATTAAACTAAAGATTTATGGACATTTAAAAATAAAGCTTCATGTATGATATACCAGAGTTATATATTTTTAAGTAATTTTTTTCAATCAAATATTGTTTTTAATATAGGGGTGTTTTCAAAACTAATATTTAAAAAATGTATTATTCATTTTTGGGGACTGTAATAATTAATACTTTAATTCCATATTATTCGCAAATTGTTATAATTAATAGTTTCTTAGAATGACATAACTATTATTTTATAATGACGGCATAATTTTTATATTACTATTACTATTTTATTTTTTTTATACTCTTTAACACAGATTGTTTTCTAAATTGCAAATTAAAAAAAAGATTCTTTTCAAACTTTTCATTCAATATTTATTCTTTCAAATAACCTAATAAATATTTACCACAATGCAAAAATCTTAGAGTGATCTAGGGTCACACATTGCTCTCCTACTTTGCTTTATGTAGCAATGCTGCTACGATTTTTAAGCTTGTGAAAAAGCTAAACACAATTACCACATAAAAGACAGGATTGTTAGTCAATATATACGTATAAAAAGTTTCCATGACCCGGACGTGATTTGAACATGCAACCTTCTGACCTGGAGTCAGACGCGCTACCGTTGCGCCACCGAACCACGTCTTGCGATTGCTCTAAAACGTATATGAATTTCACAAACTTGTTTTTCACATGTAAATATTTATAAATTAGTTATTTCATATTTATAAATTAGTTGCTATATAAGTTTCACATAGTCCCTCCGAGTGATATAGTTTGCGTTTACTTCGATTTTACCTGCTTGTGAGGCTTATGTCTGTAATTTTTTAAGTAAAATTGTTATAGTTAATTGGCGTACACCATTCCATTGCAATCACGATAACTGTTTCGAAAATTGGACCTGAAACAGCATTGCTAAAATGTGTGTGGTAATTTATTTGAATTTGAGTATATCTTTTGTTTAGGTATATCACATATTTTAATCGTAATATCGTATACCATAATATACATTTAGTAATCATATGCCTTTCGTTATCAAAAGCAACCACACGTAAGTAATTGAAAAGGAGATTTAAAATTTTCAATAATAAAATGCGAGTAAAGAAAATTCGTTTTATCTATAGTATGTTCGTAATTATAAGGTTAATTAAATCTATATATTGTTTCACATTGCAAATGCTGAATGTAACTAATATGGAATATGAAACGTGAAGGTATCTTACTAACAGTGAAATCCTCGGTTCGCGAATGCAATTCGTAGCTAATCTATTTTTAGCAACTACGAATAAAATTTAATAAAATATGTATCCTCAAATCTTTGAGTAAGATTTATATCACATGTTAAATTCGTTACCTCTAGATTTTTTTAAGCATTCTTCTAGTTAATTTTTAATGGTAATGTAAATAACATAAATTCGGACTTCAAATTAATAAAATCTTGAAATCTTCGTAATACTGTATTTGAAACCGATTCATTACTGAAATGTCTTCCCGGGCCGCATACATTTGGCAAACGGGCTGCCAGTTTGAGATTACCGCTGTACACCATTTGGGGACATACTAAGTTAGTAAGAGTTTAGCAACAGAAAATAATAAAATGGTGTTTCTGTGTGTTAATTTTATATCAGGTTACCTCAAAGTAGAACATCATTTCTTGCCGACTTTAGGGTCCGTAATTCAAGATAATTTTTGTCCAAATATTTTTTTCGTAATCCGATATACTTGTGTTGAGAGTGTTCGTGATTCGAGAATTCACTGCATAATGATATTCTTATGGAAAGCAATATTATCGATCACATATCTTTAAATATTAAACATACTTCAGAATGTTATGCATATTTAATAAAATAAATAGTTCTTTCGATCAATAAAGTTATTAATTAATTATACAGAATATAAAATTTTTACCTACGCGTATTAAAATAAAAATTTCATAATTTTTTTAGTAGGAAAGTAATTTAATTGAAAATTAAATTAAATCACTAAATTAATTTTATTTTCTACACGATTTACTTTCTTCCAAGTAAAAATTAAGAGAAAGAAATATCTTCTAAAATAACCTTATTTTATAATTAAATTTCAATGAAATTTTTGTTGTGGTTATTAAACTACAACAGAAGTAATTTGTACAGAAACTTATATTCATTTTATAAAATGTTATTAAATTTTGTCTTAAGAAAATATTTATGTGGTAAAATGTTAAAATTTCTGTTTCAGGTTTTGTTGCTTCTGCTCAGTTTGTGGGTACTGTTCATCCAAGTCTTCAAAAGCGTGGACAGGTACGAAATTATAGACCATGTTAATGCTAATAATGGAACTACAAAACTCATTTTTACTTTAAAATTCATTATATTTGGAATGAAAAATATAAGTTCGTATACTTCGTTGAAATCGATTTCAAGGCACTTCCTTTGTGTTGGTTTATTTCTTTCGATTGGGGTAAAAAATGTGTTATATTTTAATTTTGGAAATAAACGATTTTCCCCTCAATGAAGATCAATTTTATATTTTCCTTTTTGTAGATAATCGATCTGGAAATATAATAAACCAATAAATGTAATTTCTCCTTATAATTTTCTTCTTTTAATAGAAAGAAAATAAATCTGTAGCCTTTTTAATTTTTGCTTTTAGAATATCATCTAGAACACATCAAAAAGAAATTTTACATTTTGTTCTTTTAGAGCTACCAGAAGTAGGAAAAATTCATTTTAATTCCAGATTTTTTATTCTTTCAGTGCTGCTATAAGAAGAACCAAACACTTTTAAATTTCATTCCTTTAAAAATATGAGAAGTGACGCAATTTAACGTATATATTTTATCCTTAAATTTGAGAAAAACTATAAAGAGAATGAATTTCTTGCAGCTCATATACTACATAAACTGAGCACGAAACACTCACCATGAAAATATTAGCAAATAATTCCCCTTTTAACTTTTACCGCTTAATAGTTTAGAAGAAACATTCTCGAAAGTAGAAAGTTAATTACACGCTCATTCGAATGTTACTAAGTTAGTCTACAAACTTAAACCGACGAAAGAACTAGATAAATGCTTTCCTATGTAATTTACCTAATATTTTTACTAATTTTATTGCCCGAAAATTAAGAAAAAATTGAGAGGGGAAAGTTATAAGAACAATTTAATTTCCGGAGAACGCGATTACCATACGAATATAACAAATGAAAAGTGGCCATAGATAAACTAACTTCTGGCAATTATTGCAATAGTATTCCTTTATAAAAACATGCATTCCAATAAGAAAAAGTAGTACATTAAATACATTTATATTTGCATTACAGTACCTAAATATATCTTCATTTCTACTTCCATGCAAACTGAATATTTTCCGTTCTTACAACTATCTCTCCTTAGGCTTCCGATCATCAATAAATAACTACAGAAGGTAAATGTGCAGCTGATTGAGCAAAATAGTAGATTGTCAGAATGTTTTTGTGTCAATGTAATGGGTCAGTTGTATTAGGAATTGAAGTTCAATAATTAGAAGGAAAAGATTCGGTGTGATACCTATGCAAGTATTTTACAAGGTTTTATAGTTGTTAGTAAGACGGAAACATTCACTACATGGAAAAATCCATGTTTTTAAATTTAAGGGAATTCATTCTCTGCATGCATTGAGGAATAGGACAATTACGCGAATATTGTTTTAATTTTCAGAACCTGTCCCTCAAAAAGCTAAGAGTAGAGAGAATACGGTATTTTCCCTCTTTGTCCAACATAACAAAAGCCTGTATAAACGTACTTTTATTACATGATGAAAGAATTCGCTCGTAGATGAAAATATTTTTAAGACGTATGAAATTAAAAAAACAAGAGAATAAAAAATGTTCATCAAAATAATAAACGAATGCTCATAATTTAAAAGATATACTTTAATAGCCTTAATTTTTTATACTGTTTAAAATCCTTTTTCATGCAGCATGCACAGTTTTCCACCAACTCTGCACTAATTTCTTGGTTTGCTGCTACATAATTTTGTATTTTGAAGATAAATGTAACCCCTGTTTTTGTTAGCGACGGCCATCCTTAAGGTTTGTAATTTCATTAAATAAGTTGTCCATCATTTTATTAGAAACCTGAGAGGAGATTTATAAATTTCAAAAAAAAACATCCGTTATTCAGTGAATGCAGACTGAGAAGAAAAACCGAATTTTCATATTTCATGTACACTACATACATTCCTCCATTGCTTTATTAATAAATGAGTAATTTTACAGAGTTAAAATTGAACTAGAGTATATCAATTTTATGGGTTTCATTATTAATTTATTATTAATTTATTAATATTTATATAATTATTTGTTATTCATTTATTAATAAATAATATTGTATACAAAGCATTGATTTTGTTGAATATAGAAATAAATACTTGGAATGTTTGTTATACTTTTCGTAATGTCTATGCAGGGTATGATATATATATTATATAGATCTCCATATGTGTTATGTGCACTCATAGCACGAAATTTCGCATATTTTAAAATACTAAACTTATTAAATTTAGAACTCTGGGATATTTCATTTTGCATAATTTCATTTAGAAATACATCTAAGCAAATGACTTGGCAACAGCCGGGGAATGAGATAAAGATGATTGTATCCAAAAAATTAAGTTCAAACTGCAATAAAGAGAGAAGAGAAACATGCGTTTCATATTGTAATGAAAGTAAAATCTTAAAATTAGGCAGAACAGCAATTTTGTGTTTAGCATGGATTTTAAATGAAAAATCCATTGCTCGATTCTTAAAGATTCCTCTCTAGTTTCAATTCTTGGGGAATTTATAGCGTATCTTATCAGTGAGGTTTGAAATATATCGGCTATATTAAAACAAGGTTAAAATTTCTCATCAAGGTGTAGGAATCTTTTGTCAGAAAAGAAAAAATAAACAAATCTTCGATAGCTAATCGTAACTGGAAATTTAATCACAATTTTAATTTGGGTCTGCGAAAATACACATGAAACTCCTTCAGTTGATTTTCTTAAAGTTTTTACATTCACAAAAATTTATCTTGGTTAGTTAATGAAGTCAGTTCTAATCCAATCCTTTCTAACGGTTTTAAAATTCTAACACCTTAATTTTTCATGTTTCTTAACTCTTTCCTTGGACAGATGGCGCTACGCTCTTTTTTGCTTTGCTCCACTTTTGGTTTTCCTATTTTAATGGAATTTTAAATATTTCAGAGCAATACCGCGGTAATGGGAGTCCTGGATACTGAACAAGTGGAGACGATGGAACGATTATATACGATTATATATTACTGAAAGTTAATATTTCTTAATGAATGTTTTATGTTTTAAATATTTAAAGTTCACATTTTTTCAAAATGTTAAATTACATTAAGTTGGATTTTAGTGTTAAGCGTATTTAATAACGACATAATAAATGCTTAACAAAATATACAAGCCAAAATTAATTTATAACACATAATTCATTTCGAAATTTAAAAATTGTTAATTTGTCAGAGGTCTGAAAGATACATATCTTTTACTTAAAAAAGACTAAAATGCATGGATTTTTGTTACATAGATATAAATCTAGCGTTTGAGAATCAGAAAAAAGAAGTATTGCGCAGTTTAATGTGCATTTTTGATAATCTTACTTTTAGTTTAGTTAGTTTTACTTTTAGTTCAATGCAGAAGAAGGTAGAAGATTGATACGTTAAATGAAAGACACAATGAAAATGAAAATATAAGTTCAAAGTTTGATTTTATATTTGTGATTTTCAACTGCATTTACAAAATAATTGGAATTTTCTTTATTTAGTTGAGATTTATACATTTTTATACATTAAACTTTTGTTTCTTAAAAAATCAGAAGAGCGCCTTTCGAAGTGCAAATAGTTAATTGTCTATAATTTGCAGTTCATTAAAAAGGGCAAAAAATCTTCATGGATTTAAAAGTTTACTGAATAAAATTGACTGAAATGTATTGAAAAAATACATAACTCCATATTTTATGTAACCTTTTGTATTTAATGCACTTTAATCGCTATAATACGTTTTTTTAAAAAAAAATGGCAGTCATCTTAATGATCTTAACAGTAAATGAATATCTCTCTCGTTTTAAGAGTACAGCTTCTGAGTAGAATTTCTTACGTCCAAAGTGTTTATGCATTGAATTTAATATTACAATCTCATTCGCAGTGTTATATAAGAGTAATATTTAAATAAGAATAGACCATGAATTACAGTGCACTCTCGATTATTCGGGTTAGTGCCGAAGCAATTCACGGATAACTGAAAAACACAGATAGTCCAAATTATCAATTTTCATGCATATTAAAGTGCTTATTTCTAAAAAAAAATCAGTAATTTTACTTTGTTTTCGAAAGCGTTTAAATATTTGACGAATTTCACTGCGTATTTTTCGGAATGTTATTATGTTATTTTATCATTACATTCGAATCTCTTTTGGTCGAAGAAATCCAATAGAGTTACAACAGAAATCTTTGCTGCCTCAAAACTAATGTAACTATCGGTATCTTCTTCGCTTGTGTTTAGTATTTCTCTCTACCTTGTCTGTTCTTGTGACATTTGACACGACATCCATATCACTCAAATACTGAAAGCCCATCTCAATTAAATTTTCATCCAACCATTTCTTGATGTTTCCCCGACATACATTTTCGAAGAATTTTAAATTTTGATTTTGATTTTTTCCTTTTACATACAACTTCAGTTACTACTTCAGCTTCTTCACAATTACATAATCTCAGATTTGTACTAGAATAGTGTTTATCCATGACCTAACCTGTGTTATTGATTTTTCTTTTGACCAAACTTTTGTTACTCCGTATATGGCAACCATGATAGTCACACGGATGATCCGAAAACCGAATAATCCGCACCAGAATAATCAAGAGTACACTATGTACCTTGAAAATGTATTTGTGAATTAAAAATTTTACTAAGTTAAGAAATAAATTATTAAATATATAATTCTGATTTTTTTCCAGAGTTTTCTGACAACAATGCCAGCAACAACAACAGCTAATCCTATGCCCTCTACAACCATTTCTTTATCACCGCAAACTTCTATTAGTGTTCATCACACCATCGTTCGAAACAAACCTGCTTATCCTTATCCTTATACAGATTCTCCTTTACAAACTGATGGCGCTGAAGACACCAGTTATTATTACACATATGAAGATGTCTCTGAAGAATCCAGCAATAAAGTCACCAGCACACTTAGCCCAGAAACTACGACTTCCACAGCCAAGCCTACAATAAAAAGTTTTTGGAACAGCCAAAAAGCTCTTTTAGACGCTAGAAGGAAGGAAAGTTCTCAGAAATACATTTCTACTTATAATCGAGAAACTAAAAGTGAGAATAAACCCAAAATCGAATTCAAAGTAAGAGAGAAACCGAAATTTGGTCTTGCCAATAAAAAGAAAGAGTCATTGCTTATTGCGGATGTCAAGAAAGAGGAATCAAAGGCTCAAACTAAGCCAAATTCAAGTACTAAAGTAGCGAAAAACAATGTTGAGGCTAATTTATCAGATCAGAAGAATCCAGGGAAAGATGTAACTACAAAAGAACCAATGAAAAGTAATAGTAATCTTATAACAAATCAAATCGTTGGGAGGGTTGGGGAACTTCCCATTCAGAACAATCTGTCACCTCAAATACAGTCACCTGTTAGAGCTCAGAGCACAATTATAAACAGCTATGGGGGAAACAGGCCAAGCAAGTTTGATGAATCAATTGGAAATACTCAGTTTGTTGATAACTCGCAACAGCACCAAGCTTTATTACAAGCCCTTAATCAAGCTACTTTACGAAACAATAGAAATCAACAACCACTTCTTAATTTCAATCAACAACAGCCTCTGCTCAATTTGAACCAACAACAACAGCAGTTGCTTAACCTCAATCAACAACCGCGCAACCAACCCCAACAGCTCAGTCAGCAGCCATTTGTGAATCCGGTAAGACAGCAACCTGTAAATGCATTTATTGCTACAAGTCCTGCCATAAATACAGCTGGAAGGTCAGCAGATATTACTGGGAATACTAATTCCCAAGCTTCGAGCCTGCTGTCTCGTCTAGGTGCCTTGGGTCTTAATTTAGGTGGTGGAGGAGGAAGTTTAAGTCAAGGTTTGATAATGGGTAGAGATGGTGGTGGTCAAGGTAATGGTTTTACTTTAAATCTTGGACCTATACCTGATCCTTTGACATTCCTATTGCAGTTACTGTCATTAATACCAAGACCACTTCTAGATCTGAATGGAAGAATATTTTTTGGTATTGAATTAGGTAAAAATGCAGGAATTGTTGCAGGGTCTGCGGGTAAGCCAGGAGCATATAATGGCTGAAAGAGTTTAGGTACTTTTATATATCAAATAGGAAATTGAACTGTGATATGTAAAGAGGATGAACATATGATATTTAAAATTTTAGGCGTTATTTGGACATCAGTTCATGGGCAAAAGCATAAAGGAAAAAAGCTTCATCCTATTCCAAACGCTTAGAACAACACTGCGCATTTTATTTTTGCATGGCCACCAATGATGCGTTGTGGATTGCCCCAAATGGTAAGAAAACTGAGGAACCAAAGTTGAAAACTGTTTGCGAGAGAGACTTTTGGCGAAACAGTATTTTGGGCTGTTATGAATGAATAATGTTTCCATGAAATAATTTAATTGTATACATTATTTAATAGATAGTCCAGTTTAATTATCATCGTGATTAATTAAAATTAAATTAATTTCTCTTTTAAAAATCATCTCATTTTTAACCAATAGTTGAAATTCACATCTGATTTTCACACTTAAAATAGGCTATAGTGTTAATGTGATTTATAATCCAAATTTCAACGGATATTTTTTTAAATGTAGGACCAAAATATTTGTAATGACTATGAGATATCATTTTGTACCTGTACATAAATCCATTGAATGTATATAAGTTTAGCCATATGTTGTACAGTGTAGAATATTTGTAATTAGTTCATCTATTTTTAAATAAAATTGTTGGTAAAACTTTAATTGTTGCCTTCTTTTATTTCTTGGAAATGATTTATATCATTTTATTAAAAATTTCAGCAATATATATTTCAGTCATTTATTTGCAGCAATATACATTATTTTAATATATTTTGAAACATGTAAATTTTCTCATGGATGAAAAAGTAGACACACTTAAAAAATGACACACTTAACACTTACACACTTAAAAAATGAATAATTTGAAACAAAATTCTATTATAGCTAATTATATTATGCAATTGTTCATCTAAAACAATTAATTAAATGTTACGCTAACCTTTAATTACAGTAGACAATTAAAGTTAGTCTTATAACAATATCAAAACTTTCCCTGTTCTTGTTGCAGACAGGATAAGTCAACAAGAAACTACTTTGCAATTTCTTCATAAAGTACGAGTAATTATTTAAAACAAGAATAAATAAAGCATCAACAAAGAAGTGAAACTAGCAAAAGTGTATCTGCATTAAAAGATTAAAATGTGTGTGAGACGTATATCTAGGTGACATTTTTTGCAGATAGTAATCCAGTTCTTATGATACGAGTACAAAATAAGGCAGAAGAGATGGACACTTTTTAAAATAAATCTCAAAATCGTTAATTTCCTCTTAAAAAGAAACTTCTAAGAGAACAGATTTGTGTTCGTTCTGAAATAAGATTTGGCAAAATCAAGAGTGGAAAAGAACATCAAACATGTGACGTCCATTATCACTGATGCATTTCTGAGAGCATTCTTGGAAGGTAGCACCCATTCTTTCCATCATCGCTCCGTGAGTATTGAAATGGCGGCGAAACATTTAAATGTCGCGATAGACAAATTATTCTTGACAAAACGCAAAAATGAGGTGTTCTGTCAGCCACAGCCTACATGGTTTTAACTAGTAAGGAAAAAACGAATCTGCTAAGGCTTAAAGAACCTAATGCCACTTGCCGAACAGCTGTTACTCCACTCGCGGTCAGTTCTTGCCATTTCAAAAGCGTTCTTCCTTTCTGTTCCGTATTGTATTTATGATATCCATGACGATGGTTTTGCTGCTTGTCTGACTATGCTGTCGTTAATCAACTTAGGATGAGAAGTTTCCCACTGTTACTCTGAAATCCTAATATGTATCCCAATACCTAATGCTTAAATGGTCATTTTCGTGTCTTAATCATGCTACTTACTGCCAATGCTCTCTCGTTTCTCATATGGCCACAAAAAGCATCTGATATTACATCCCATGGCAATTCTCACCATGGAATATATGTCGAGGTTGCTGTTACGAGCTACTTCTGCTTCATGAGTTGTCACGGTGCATTCAGACAGCTATTGAAATCATTTACGTGTATTTGCCTCGAAATGCAAGCGTGGTATAATTATTATCATCACCGTACCTCGATATAGGCGGTTTCTAGATAAGAAAATGTAAAACTTTTACAATGCAAATAACATTTTGAAGTTTTCATATATTAAAGGATTTCCATTAGGATTTCTCTATTAAAAATAATTACCTTATACTGGATTTGCAAAGAAGTTTCCCTCTTGCAGGAATCGCGTTGAAAAGAGATAGCTTGATCCAAAGGAATAACAGTGAAATATATTTAATTTCAGGCGATTCGAACAATTTGAATATTATGTTTAATAAAACTTTCTGAATCACAAAAAGGTTCAAAAACAGAAATAGGTTTAGAAGTTACTTAATTTTACTTATCGCGAAATATAAGGTATAAAATTCTCCCAGTATGATATTTAATAAAAGATCCTTTGAAAACTTTTGTTCTACTTTTCCGAAGTAACAAAATTCAAATGAAACAAATCATAAATTTCTAAAAATAACATTTATTAACTATTTAACAAAAACTATTAATTTTTATATAAATAAACTTATTTATTATATGAAAATTATAAAGACTACATTATCATCCTACATGTTAAAGATAAATATATCCAATAATATATATTTATTCATAGGAAGAGGAGCCCATCAGGCGATCAAACGAATACGTTTACTGAATAATGACAGTTCCAAAGGGATTAAATCCCGATCACTTTGCCACAATCTGATAAATCCAACCAAATCATGTTTTGCACTGCTCAAACATATACGTTTTATACTTATAAAATGTGGGTGCATTTTAACAAGAGGCCCTCAAAGATCATTTGCGCTTTTAAAAAACTTTTCATAAATAAGAGTTTAGTTAACAGTGGATCCTACTTGTTTTTTCAGATTTAATTACAAATATCACTTGCTAAATATTAGCAAAATCCCGTTATTATTTTTAACATACTACTGATCCTCTGTTTAAAAATCTGCTTGTTTTGAAAACGGTTATTCGAAACGTTTTTGGTAAAAAAATAATTCATTCAAAAGAGTTCTCAACGTGAACTCACATAAGTCCGAATAATGTATAGAGAAGTTTTATAACTTCAGGACAGTTTCATGATAACCACAAACGAACATTTAGGGTTGTATTTTTAGGATCGTTATTCTGATAGAACTTGAATGTCAAAGTTTCCTTGCGGACGCTTTCAGGTTTTTATAAAGAATATTTATAAATTTATAATAATATATATTAATTTAGATAAACACTATACTTATTTCAAAGGCAGCGAAACGTCCCCAAACTATTACGTAATATTAGTCCCATAGGAAATATTAGGCAATAGGTTTTTCGAATTCAACTTTTAATTCGGATTTTGCCACCTATTAATTAGCCTATAGCAACAAAATATATTAAAATTTTACTTTTATTCAAGTATTACATTGTTCCAATGTGACAAAATTTTGCTTAACATGGATTCTGCGAACGCCAAACTCATTTTCATGGTTTTCTTTCAGATGAAGAATTTCTTTCCTGCTGATGGTCCATTGTATCCATATGTCCTAGTGGCTCTGTTAAACTGTCAAGGTTAATTTTCATTGTAAAGCACTGTTCTAAATATGCTTTAAGTTTTACATCGCTAATTTTTGGATTTTGTTTGATTTTTCGTAAGATAAATCTCCGAATTCTGCATGTTAACTTGGAATGTAGTTCAGATTTCAGAGCATTTTGAAAAGTTCCACGCAATTTCTTTTGTTTTAATACATCAAAGATAACTGAAAACTTTGTGTCAAAGATTATTTGAATATTTTGAATACCTTCACCATCTGCAAAATCACGAATAATTAAATTTCGAACAGAACTGTCCAGTAATTTGTAGTGTTTTTTTCACGCTCACGTCAGCCATGGAAACGTTGATTTTGCTGAACAAGTAAAACTTCCCAAACGCAGACGGTAATTCTTGTGATATGGTTTCATTTAAAACAAAAAATTATAACAAGATACATTGTCTACCAAAATATTGTTTAAATATTTTGGTAGACAATGTATCTTGTTATAATATTTTGGAGGCCTGAATTATTATGCGAGTTTTTCATTTTTAACAGTTTTTGAACAAATTGTTTTATTACGAGGTATATTTTAATAATATTTATTTTACAACAAGCAAAGCTTTTAATAGAAGAAAAATAATACATTAGAAAATAATCTGGAGTCAATTTTTCAATATTTAATGCAAATAAATTTCAAAAATACAAATGTCCGAAAGCAAATGTGAGCCACTGTATGTAAAATATGAAGTAAGCTCGGATACATTTTCATCTATTACTAATTTAACTAAAAACAAACCAAAAATCTAAACTAACTTCTTCTACTTGAAGTTGAACGAAGTTAAATAATTTTGCAGTTTAAGAAAATTCATTCAGAAAAAATGCTTAAAAGAGTATTTTCCCATTTATTTCATGAGATTCATACAGTAGTACTCTTCCACTTAATTAATGAATCATAAGATAACATGTACTCTTTTCAGTACCATTTAATGCAGTAAAAAAATTTAATTTCCAGATTATTGATGTTACTTTTTTATGTTATGTTTTCTGCGCTATGGCTAGTTGAATGAAGATTTTGTTGCATCTAATGTAGTGGTTCTCAACAATTACTGCCCCACGGGGATAGAAAACGCATGTTCTATTTGGAAGAATAAAAGTATAGAAGAACAGAAGTCTATCAGATGTCTAGAATTATATTAGAAGCACTGAAGTGTAGAAATATATAGAAGTATATTAGAAGTACAGAAATAGAGAAAAGTATATTAGAAGTATAGAAGTATAGAAGAACTAAAGTATATTAAAAGTGTTAAAGTATAGAAGAATAGACGTATGTAGAAGTATAGAAGTATATTACAAGGACAGTAGTATACATGAAGTTATACTAGAAGTACAGAAAAACATTAGCATATAGACGTATAAAAAAAGAGAACTATATTAAAAGTACAGATGAAGAGAAGTGTGACAGAAGTATATTAGAAGTACAGAAATATGTTTGAAAAATAGAAGCATGTAGAAGAATTGAGGTATATTAAAAGCATACAAGAATATAAACATATAGAAGAACTTAAGTATATTAAAAGTACACAAAAATGTAAGTATATTAGACGTATATTAGAAGTATAGAAGAATAGAAATATACAGGAGTATAGAATAGAAATTTATTAGGAGAACCGAAGTATAATAGAAGTATATTAACAGAAGAGAAGTATATAGAAGTAGCTAGAGAGTCATTTTACTTACTTTAGAACAGGAAAGATGAAAAACGCGTAGTGCCTTCGATAAGACTAGAAATCCGAATTTTTCAATTACTAGTCAGACGTGTTTTATAATTGCACCAAGAAGACACATATTTGGCGACTCCAGAGTCCGAGACTTAGTCGCAAACTAGACTAGAAATCCGAATTTTTCAATTACTAGTCAGACGTGTTTTATAATTGCACCAAGAAGACACATATTTGGCGACTCCAGAGTCCGAGACTTAGTCGCAAACCCTGGTAATAATGAATTATCATGAACCACCTTTTAGTTCGGGAGTCACTTGTGGAGCGATTTCGAATTTTCGGAAGCCGGGAAACACAAATTTTCTGCAATGTTTTTTCGCTGTCTTGAATACCAGACTTTCTGATGCTAGCCGGATATGCTTCCAATTACAC